GCTGCGCGCCATGGTGCTGCTGCCGTGCGGTGCCGGGCGTGTGCATGGTGCGTGCTGCCGTGCGGTGCGTGCGGTGTGCGCTGCTGCCTGGCGATGCGTGCTGCGCGCTATCGGCGGTGCATGCTGCAGTGCTGCCTTGCCGGATGGTGTGACCATAACAGGGAACATCTATAGTAAAAAATAACTTGCAAGTACGGAGATATTTCCGATGCATGGTAGGATGTGCGTGTGAGGCGCCTTATCTGAAGATTTCGGATATGCTCTTCACAGCGACATCACATGCACATCTTATCATGCATTGAGAACATCTCGCGCCCATGTTTGAGGAATAGATCCCGTCTTCCTTTTGCCCGCTCCTCACCATGGGACGGATGCCGATTGACCAAACCAAATTACAACTACTGGATCATCGGCGAAACTCTGGTAATCGATCTTTGCTCGTCTATCCACTCGAATTCTGATCTTCCACCCAATCGTCCTCATAAATTAACCTTATGGATTCTATTTCTTGCTCGACTTTTAGCAATGGATGGTAAAAAAGAAAAAATTGTATTTTATTTAAGTCGAACGAATTGGCGAGATGGATTGGATTCACGTAGCCGATTCCATATAGTTGGGATAAGGCATGATGTTATGATAATGATACACCATGGTCATGCTTTCCTCCAATAGTGTTTTGGTGCTTCCTCCCATGGTTTAATGATATGTTACTGACGTTGACGTTGGGGATAGAACTGGGTGTATGCGAAGGTTGGCGGAAAAACTTTTGTATGGGTAATTTCATCGAACACCCAGAGAGAATTTCAAATTTATTGCTGCTAAAATGGGTCGCTTTTCCGTGTTTTCCACCGGCCAATGGTCTTACCTCCTACGCTCCTTCGACGAAGGTGAACTCTTCATAGGTCGTCAAGATAAGGAATCTAAAAATAGAAATGAGATGGAAAGAGAATCTCTCCAATCCCCAATATATCGTTATCTTTCTGTTAGCAAAGTTCAACTTCCTTGCCTTTCTTACTAGGTATGGCCGGAAGAAATGGGGAAGATGTACTTGTTTCCCTTCTAGTAGCAGCGTTGCTTGACAAATTAACCTCTCCTGCGCTGAGAGAATTTGGAATCACGTGGGGTGTTGAAGATGAGCTGGGTGAGCTCTCTGATGTGCTTGAGAGTATACATGATATGCTTGATTTACTGGAGAACGCTCAAAGGGAGAATAAGGTGATAAAGCGTTACCTCATGAAGCTCAGAGGTGAAGCTTACCACATGGACAACATACTGGATGAGTTAGCTTATGAAGTTATCAGGGAGAGAAATCAAACAAGTCAGAGTAGGAGGAGGAAAAGAGTAAGTGACTCTCTCTCCTTTAGTTTAAACTCTGAACAAAAGTTACGTCAACATGAGATTGCACCACTGATAAATCAAATCAATGAGAAACTAGTTGAAATGGAAAAGAAGCTTGAAATTCATTATCTTAGAAGTCTAGAAGTAAAGCAGGTTGAAACAATTAAGAAAACAGACCTTAGATGGAAGACTAGTTCCTTAGTTGATCGAGATCATATTTTGGATAGAAAGAAAGATGTAGATGCTATAAGAAGCAAGTTGTTGTCTAGCCAACATAATAATGAAAGGAGGGTTTCTGTTGTTGCCATTGTTGGAATGGGGGGACTTGGGAAGACAACGCTTTCTCAGCTTGTCTACAACCATCGAGATGTGCAGAATCATTTTCAGATACGAGCGTGGGTTTGTGTGTCTGACAACTTTGATGCTGAAAGAATAACCAAAGCTATCCTAGAATCGGCATTTATGGAACCATGTGAACTAAAGGAGCTAGATCCTCTTCAACGTGAACTTAGAAAGAAGCTAAAAGGGAAGAAATTTTTGCTTGTATTAGATGATGTTTGGAGTGAAAACCACCAACATTGGGAGAAACTAAGAGTTCCGTTCAGAGATGCAAAAAAAGGGAGTAGAATTATTGTAACCACTCGGAGCAAGAAAACTGTTTCATCCATCAGGGACACTATTTATACTCATAATTTGGAATTTCTGTCAGATGATGATTGTTGGACATTGATAAAAAAATGCACATTTGTTGATGAGAACTCTGTTGCATCAGACCTAATGGCTATTGGCAGAGAAATTGCGAGGAAGTGTAAAGGTTTACCCCTGGCAGCAAATACACTTGGAGGCCTTCTGCGCTCTAAACTAGAACTACAGGAATGGGAAAATATATTGGCAAGCGACATTTGGGGCTTAGACAAAGGAAACGGATTGCCAGACTCTCTAAGCTTGAGCTATCATTATCTCCCATTGCATTTGAAGCAGTGTTTTGTTTATTCCTCTCTGTTTCCTAAAGACTATGTATATGATAAAGAATGTTTAGTTGAATTGTGGATTGCAGAAGGCTTTGTCTGCAGTAAAGAAAATGAGGCACTTGAAGACACAGGTGATCAATATTTTAATGATTTATTGCAAAGGTCTTTCTTTCAATGTGCAAGCAAAGAAGATCCCCAGCATTCTGAGAAGTTTGTGATGCATGAGCTTATGCATGATCTAGCAGAGTCAATATCAGGGGAGATTTGTTGTAGAATTGAGAGTAGTGCCAAATCATATTCTATCTCCAAAAATACTCGTCATGTGGCATTACTTGACTCCTACAGAAGAGACTCACTAAATGTAAAGTACTATGACTCTAAGAGTGTATCCACCTTGATGGTCCTGAAATATGGTGTCATGAATCACATCCTTAATGATCTATTGGAAAATTTCAGATGCTTGCGCGTGTTAGACCTGAGAAAAACTTTCATTGAAACACTTCCCGATTCCATTGGCAATTTGAAATATTTACAGTACATCAACCTCCCCTATGGTCTAAACTCCTTGCCACGAGGAGTTGGAAGATTATGTTGCCTCAAGACATTGTTGCCTTGTTTTCCTGTGGCTGCAAGCAATGGTGCTGGGCTAAGAGAGTTAAAGAACTTGAAACTTCTTGAGGGTTCTCTTTGCATTTCAGGATTACATAATGTATCTGATGCTATAGAGGCAACAGAAGATACTTTGAGGAATATGTCAAAACTTGATTGGTTGGTATTAGAATTTGATGGTCAAAGTGACAGTAGTATAGATGCTGAGGTGCTTGAAGCCCTTCAGCCTCACATGGATCTCCAGCTTCTCCACATGTATGGATATTATGGTGAAAATTTTCCAAATTGGATGTTGAATGGATTTGGGTGTTATAATAAGCTAGTTTCTGTATGTCTCTTTGATTGTTTGCAATGTCATTCTCTTCCGGCTCTTGGTGAGCTGCCTTCACTAAAATCCATGGTTCTGGATCACATGCCTCTTCTGGAGGAATGGCCGGGAGCAGAGAGTGGTGAATTCCTTTGCCTTGAAATGCTAAAAATTTTTGATTGTAAGAAACTGAAAGAACTGAGTCCAGCACTTGGATTGATTTCCAAACTAAAATTCTTGATGATCTATCTCTGTCCTAGTCTCATGTCCTTACCAGAGGGACTACTCAACCTCACTTCTCTCAAAAGTTTAAATATTACTCATTGTTCTAATACATTGACACATCTTCTTGATGAGAGTCTTCCCCCAAACCTTACTCATCTTAAGATTAATTATGGTGTGTCCGAGTCCCTACCCAGGGCTTTGAGAAACCTATCATATCTTGAGAAACTCAAAATTTACAAACAATTGGATCTCACAAGTTCTCCAAATGTTGAGGAACTCAAACTCTTGGAATCTCTAGATGGTCGTCATGCTTATATTCCTGCTAGATACTTTTCTGAGCTGCCCACCAACCTTCGCTGTTTGATTGTTGACTATGTGGACTGTACACACCATCTACCATTGCATTCCCAAGTGCAGGTAACTGGCTACCTTCATCTGTCCTTCCCCACTTTCCTTTACAATTCATTTGTTATTCTCTTTTCTTACTTTATCAATCATTTCAGATGGCAGGAGGATGAAGAGGTGAAAGAGAACTAAGTTCAGTAAAGTCAATTATTTTTCTTGTTCAGTTTATCCACAAGTTGACAAGTGGTAAGTTGTAAATAATACTTCCGTTGTGGATTTAGACACTGGTATAGCATTATAATATATCATTTGCTTTAAATCATCCAGTTACCAATCAAATAAGAAAAAATTATGGATCTTTCTGTTGTGCTGTTCACTGTTTTTAATAGATTTCCCGAAATAGAAAAATGAAGATTTATCAGCTCTGTGAATGGGGTAGAAGGTTCTTGTTTCAGCCCTCATCAGTTCATTGCCTGATCAAGAATATTGTATTTAGCTTCTCTTCTTGAGCATCTTTGTTTTTAATTAGTTTTGGAAATTGCTTTTCTGTCCTTATTCCCTGTTTCTGTTGGATCTGAGGAAAGTTCTTAAGACCCTGGATAGTTAGGACCATCATTGCATAATGCAATACATGGTCCAAATATGATAGAAATACTCTGCATATTCCAGCCACCATTTCAAACATAAAAGTTAATTATGTATCCAGTGTTTCATGGAGTATCATAAATTGATTACATGCCCATGCCACATGGACATGCATCAGAGTCTAACACTCCACAGATTCTTGGGGACACTTACTATATACATTTCATTTTTTATCTCTTAGCTTATTTGACATAAATGAACATCTAAGCTACAAGATAAATGCCAATTTTCACATCAAACATTACTTAGTAGAAAAGACAACATATTTTGCAGGTATAGAAAGAATATGAACTTTAATAGCATATGCTTTTCCAAAGACATGTCCATGAGTTCATATTGTCTCATCTTGCTAATTCAGATTTGTGGGCATGCATCAGATTCCAGCCTCCATGTCTGTGTTTGAGTCACTCTTGGACACTGAAGAACTTTGTTAGAACAATGAAGAGATCAAATACATCTATTTTTTCTTAGAAAGTTCAAATTAAGACATCTTTGGTTGTGTTATCAATTCTTCCTTGAATATTTCTTGGGACCTTAGCTTTAGAAGACAACCAAGGGACTAGGATTCTTTTGATATTTTGATGGTTTAGATTTTCTCAATCTTTTAGGAGGGGTTTTTTGTCCAATGTTGGGGAGAGAACATCAATACAGGCTGAGTTGTAGTCCTTGCTTCAAGCTTGACAGTTGACACTTAAGGACTTCTCAAACCTGAAAGTTAAAGGATATTTTTTAAATGGTAATAGGATGGATGAGGAGCAATCTATCCAGTCTTTGGATGCTTTAATGCCTTTAGAGAGACTAGGTCTTTGGCATTCAAGTTGAACACCTTGTTTAGGTGGGTCTGAAAATCAACAAATTCTCTAGTAGACTCCTTTGGCTAGAGAAGTCATGAATAGGGATGAGTTATTCAGGGTCCTAGTCAAGGAAGTAGGTAATCTTGTACATATTGGAAACTTTCTTGTAGAAAGTTTCTAGCCACAAGAAAAGAAGTTGAAATTAGATTCCTATCAAGTGCTTTTTATCAACAATAATGTGGCCTATCAGGTTATGATAGTGGTGGAAGGCAGAGCTCTGGAGAGGTGGCTAGTGAGGTATAAGAGTATTCCTATCATCAAAGAGGAAATGTAGTAAGGGCAAGGTATTCATACCTCTTGTGAACCTGCATTACTTGTCAGAGCTGGAAAAATTGTTGATTTCTATGTCAACACTGAAGAGTAGGTGTAGTGCAATAGTAAAATCTTAAGCTTAAAAGTATGAGAATGTCGGTTTGAGTCTAGGAAAGTTGCTTTGTGCAAAAATTCTAGATGTAAGGTCCATATCCAGTCTACCCCTCCAGAATCCCTGTATAGCCAGGACCAATAATAGCCCTTTTGTCAGTACTGAAGACGGGATAACCTATTGTGCCATGTTGTAGTGTTGATTCTATAACATCTTTGAAAGGGGTGCTCCTTTGGGCAAGGCATGATTGCCTGAACTCATTGAATTGGTAAAGCAAAGTGAGTTACTATCCCATTTGATAGATATTATTATCTCTTATTGTCCACTAGATGTTCTTTTTTTTTCTATCTTTCCCCCTGTCAGTCATGTGATGGACTTTAATGTGTTCTTTGTCAATCTATGTTATTCTTTGCTGGCTATGATTCTAGCATCCTAGGGTGTTAGTGTCAGGGTACTATTTTTAACATATAAGGTGGCTGGTAAAATCTTAAAGAATGTTGGGGATTTGGAAGGATGGGTTTAGTAGCTATTTTGAGATATCCAAGTATTCTATGATGTGCTTGTGAGTCGGTTTTGCATCCTTTCCCTGTAGTAGTTTTGCTTGTCATCAACAACATCCTTGGATTTTGCTGTCTTCAAGAATCATCATTGGGAGTTTGGGTATTCGGTTCTGGTGGATAATATAATCAGTTGAATAGAGCACATGAAGAAAAATTGCAAAAGGAAAAAAAAACAAAAAAAAAAGAAAGAAAAGGCTTGATTTGGACCTAGTATGAGTAGACATTTTGTTTTCTCCATGTGATTGTGTTTGAGCTTTGCATTGGTGTTTTCTTAAGATTGACAGAAATGAACTTAAGATGAATCTTAATTGATCCCTTTTTTATTTTCTTAGTTTTTATTTGTTTTTTGCACATTTTTCCTGTCTTACAAAAACGTGCAGACAAGGTTGAGCCCCATATCTTTATCTTTACATCCATTTATTTCTTGCTGCCTTCAGGGAGTGCACCTCCTTCAGTGCAGAAACATTTTGTTTCTATACAGGAGAACCTCTTTTGGTACACAAATTATTTGTCTTATCTGTGAATTTGTGATTTCTAGCTACAAGTCTACTAGGTGCAGTGATTTAAAAGGCGTGCCTAGGCACTCAGGCAATGTGCACTTTAAGGTATGCGTCTCACCTAGGCCCCAGGAGCAGCACTTTCAACAGGTGCACACTTGGTGCACCTTGTGCTTCAGCCTAGGTGTGCACTTTTTTGTTATG